GAATGGGCATTGGCTCCACAGAAAATTCCAGGCCCAGGCACCACCATAAAGTTTTTAGGAGTCATTTGTTTGGGTAAGACGTGCTCAGTGATTGATAAGGTGCAAAGCCTATCCAACCCATAAGAACGTGAAAGACGTACAAGACTTTGTAGGGATTTGGGGGTTTTGGAAGACTTTGATTCCCCACCTGGCACAGTGCCTCCATCACTTCTGCCACTTGCTAAAGATAGGGAACATGTGGGAGTGAGGGTGAGAGCAATAAGATCAACTTTGAGAAGGCAGAAACACTAGTGAAGCAGATTAAATCTCTGGGCATCTCCCAAGCAGGGCTATCATTTGAGTTAGATATATCTGTGACTCTGGAAAGTACGGATTAGGCACTGTGGCAGAAACAACAGAAAGAGAGAGCAACCCTGGGATTTTGGTGTCAGCTCCGGAAGAAGCTTTGGGGGTTTCTGGTATACTCCTCAAAGAGCAATATCTCCTAGCAGTGTACACAGCACTCCTCCAGGTAGAGACTCTCAGGAAAGAACAGCGTATCATGGTAAGAACTTTCCTTCCTATCAAGGGATATTTTGAGAATATATTCCATTGACCTACATCTGCCATGGCTCAAACTCCCAGTTTGACTAAGAGCATGCCTATTTGCAACAGAGGAGCTGCCTATCTGCCAGCCCACATCTCTAGAAATGTGAGTGCTGCTAGGCCAGGTAGAGTATGTAGATCCTCCAAATGCCCCACCACTGTTCCTGTGGTGGCCCCTGCGGCCCACAGAGAAGGAGTGGGGGAAATTCTTGCTGATGCCTAGTATACAGATGGATCTATTTAGGGCAACCCATCCACATGGACTGCAGTCACTATTCAGCCCAGGACTGACATCATCTGGATTGAAACAGGAACAAACTGCAGTAGCCAGTGGGCTGAACTCAGAGCAGCAGTTTGGCTGGTGGTCACTCATGAACCCTGACTGTTAACCCTTTGTACTGACAGTTGGGCTGTTCTAAAGAGATTAACCCTATGGCTTTGACAATGGGAAGCTGAGGGGTGGATGTTCGTGAATAAGCTCTTGTGGGGTCAGGATATGTGGAAAGACGTTTGGTTCACCTTCAAGAGCCTGAGGCAGTCCTGACTGTCTTCCACGTCCAGGGTCATAAGGCACCAACAATTCCTGGCAATCAGGAAGATGATGCCCTAGCTCAGGTACAAGCCCTAGCAAATGACGCTTCAGTAGACACAGCAGATTGGTTACATAGAAAAGGGGCCACCATAGTGCCTGAGTGCTATGGAGTATTCACAAGGATACTGGATTGCCCTTCAAATACAGTGACTTGGTTAACACAGTAACAGCATGTCGTGTGTGTTCTAAACAATGCCAAAGGCCACTTCCAAAGGAGTCTGGGGCCATCCACTGGAGTTCCCAACCAGCAAGGAATAGGAAAATTGATTATATTGGTCCCCTCCTTCTGACTGAGGGTGTAAGTATGCCCTGGTTTGTGAGGACATTGTGTCTGGCCTATCCCAAGTTTTCCCTGTCACCACTCAAACCAGGCTGCCACCATTAGAGGATTAGAGAAGCTGAGTACGAAGTACCAATAGACTCATTGAATAGACAGTGATTGAGGGTCAGATTTCAAAGGTCAGGATGTGCAAGTCTGGGCAAAAGAACATGACATTAAATGAAGGTTCTACCTCCTTATAATCCACAAACAGCAAGGTTTGTTGAAAGAAAAAATAATATATTAAAGCAGCAGATTAAATTAAATTACTAGCAGATAAAAACCTTGGCCAGCTGGACTAAAGTACTGTCCAGACTTTGATACATTTGAATGATCAACCAATACAGCCTGTTATTCCATATGCCAGACTGGGGCCCCCTGCTGAGATAACCAATACTGTAAAGGAATGGAAGTGGAAGGAAGCAGCCATTGTCCCCTAGCTCTCACCATGCATCAATGTGCTATGCTGCTGAGAATACCAAGTCCCAACATGCCTGGGAAAGGTATTATATACTGGAATTTGCAATGGGATGTCCCATAGAGATAAGTGAGTTACTTTGCACCCCGGGTGAGGGGGAACTACTCAGTCTCCACCAAAATCTTGTTGATCTTCTACAAGCCAGACCTGTTGAAACACACCATACCCGGAACGGAACACCACCATTGAAAGAGGGGAGAAGGTAGGAGTCTTGGTCTGGCATATTTCACCCTCAGTTCATCTCCTCATGCTTGATAGTACTGCCTCCTCTGGGCAACATGTATGGTATATGCAACCAGGTCAAGTTTCTAAAGCTGCCAAACTCCCTCTCTTCAAGACCAGGTGGGCACGTTCTGTTTTCCACTGGTACGATCATTTGGCCTCCATATTTTTTCCCTCCATTGGCCTGGAGGATGTTTTAGCACACATGGAAGCCCTTACTAAATTCACCCAGCAAGCCTTAAATGATAGCCAGTCAAGCCTATCTTTACTTAACACTGAAATGTCTCTAATGAGAAAAACTGTCCTCCAAAATATAATGCACTTGGACATTATTACCGCTTCACAAGGAGGCACCTGTGCCATTATTCAAATAGAATGTTATATGTTCATACCTGATGAGTCTGCTAATGTATCATCTCTATTAAGTCACCTGAGGACACAAGTAAATGCCCTGAATAATCCAACCCCAGCCTAGAGGACTTCGTAAATCAATGGTTTGGATGGAAGGACTCAATGGAAAAAATTGTTACGTATTTTGGGAATCATTTTCTTAATCTGTGTTTTTCTCTTGTATATGCCTGTATTGTGGCTGAGGCCTCTGCCCCCAGTGCAGCCAGATAGCCACCAAAGGAGCCACTTTCATGCTGCGAAAATCCCTTGCTGACCACTCAGGGCATGTTGTGGAGGAGGGAGGCATGTAAGATTGTAAGAGCTGTCAGGAAGGGTGGCGTGTTGGAGGAGGTCATTGAGAGGATGTGACCTCCAGTTGACCCGTGAGCTGGGCCGCACAATCAGAGGCTCCTCACCCCCTCCTGTGTCCTTGGAAAGTAGTTCTGCCCACTATTCCCCCTTAGGAACTGTTTCAAGGACACAACCTTGAGACAGTGTATTGTTGAGACCCTTTGGATGGTATACATGACTGAACCTTGTTAGGCCACTATATAGACTCTTAAGATTCTGGCGGGTGGGTGTGGAGAGCCACTCCTCTTTCGGCCACCCAGGACAGCCCTCATATGTAAGTTCCCTTGCGTATTAAACCTGCTACCTTCCAATCTGGAGCGCTCTGCCTCTTTCTTCAGTCTCTCCTTGCCCTCTTGCCTCCATGTGGGGGCCCAGTTTGCAAATTGACAGGGAACCAGAGAGAACTTTGCATATTTGGAGTTTATACAAGGATATCTACATATTTCATGTAAAAATTTATTCTGAAATTATCAATTTTGATGTGAAAGTGATGTTTATAAATTGGTATTATGTAAATCAGTGTAAGAGATTTTTATTACTGTTCAGTCAATGAGTGTCTGAGACAAAGCATGGGTGTTGTAGTTTAAAGCTATCTGATTGTTTAAAACTATATCCTTTTCTGTTAATTTTCCCATAACTTTTTTCTTGTCATCTTCATTTTAAAATTAATCCTTATTATCCTTATATTTTGTATAAATTCAACATCATCTTTGTGTGTTTATTTTTTTGTTGTTTCTTTTTTTCCTGAACTCACCACTATTATAAACAAACTCCTTTAAACATATATATAATAGAACCTGATTTGGAAAATTTTTCTTCTGATTTTAACTACCTTGTTGGGTTTGTTTTTTTTTTAAATATTCAGATCCATTTTCATCCTTTCAAACCAAGTGGATCTTTTACAAGCTATAAAAATGGACTGAAAGTAGACAATTTTTCATAAGCACAATAATTGTGTTCTTTATAAGACATTTTATTTGCCTTGGAAAGGAACTTAGAATAAAATTTCATCACTGAAATTATTCATAGTTTGTTATACCAAAAATGAAACTTTAAAAAATTTTCTTCTCTTCATTCTCTAGATGTATTATTTCCAAAAATGAACCAAATGTAAGGAAAATAGTACTCAAATATAAAAACATTTATTTTACATTATCTTGACTAGGATCATGAAAATAAATTTTATTAAAAACATTTTTTGTTTCTTATGACCAAAAATAAACACCATAAAAAAAGAAGTAGCTTCAGTAATGTACACAGAAATAATTTTCAAGTTGACATTAGAACATATTGGGCTTTACCAAAGCATAAAACATATGTTGTGACTACAGTTGGTGAGTGGGTGATAACTTCAACTCTAAGTGTAACCATGTACTATACTTTAACAGAAATCTAGATGGCAGACAGTATCTAACAGTTGTTAAGGCCACAATTTTGGTCCTAACAGAACTAGTCCAAGTCCAGACTTTGCCACAATGGTTTAATTCAAGTTATTTTAGTTCTCTGGGCCATAGTTTAATTGGCAGAAAAATGGAGATTTACAACCAAAGACGATCATAAAGATTGAATGACCTTCTATGCATGGAGTGTTTAACATGGCACCTGGCACATAGTGAGCATTCAACGAATGGTTACTAACATTATCAGGCCACTCAAATATACTTGATCAAAATGCATAAAACTGTACAAATCATAAATAAAATTATTTCCATTTAATGCATTTGTAGTATCACTAGTATTTATACTTTGGGCAAGAGAAAACAGCTAGGCACGTATGCTAGGATGAGGTGATATAGTGAATTGTTAATTTCTCTGGATAAATAAAATAGGAAATGGTAGGAGTTGTGGGTGACACATACTATTATGTTAAAAGCTGAAAAAAGGTTTTAAAATGTGTGTTAATCTGGGTCATTAGCAATAGCTTTCTTTTTGGTATACTCAGAAGAATCATTTATTCAACAAATATTCCTTGACTGCCTGTTATGTGCCCGGCTGTGTTTACCTACCATGCCAAAGGAAATACCTCCTTTTTATGCTCTGAATACTTTCCTTTTCCACAGACATTCCCACTGGGCCTGGGCGATGGGCAATTCTATGCATGGACAGATGGTTTGAGAAGAAAGGACTGGCATGACTATGAAAGCATTCAGAAAGAGGCTATGCGCTCAGGTATGAAGTTCAGTGTAAGCCAAAGTGCTATTTTACTTACAGCAGTGTCTGCTTTGTCACTTAAAGGATCTCTAATTAGCATTTGTTCTGCACACAGTAAGGTATGTTTCATGGGGATTTTGGAGGTCAACGCTGGACAAAACTAAAACAAATTTCAGAGAGAAAACAAATAATAAACAGCCTTTAAAATATGAGCTGAAGAAGAGGTCATTAAAGTTTTAGAAATCTATCGTGCTTTATATTTCCAAACTGCTTTTCAATAATTTCCGGGAGTATCTTGGGATTTATCAATGAGACTTGACTTGGCGTCTTGAGCCAGATTCACTCATTAGGGCTGGGGTAGATTTCACTGGCAATGCAAAGTATGGCAGGAGTACCACAACTCTTGACATTGGCAGAGGTACAGAAAGTTGGTGGATCACAGAAGCCAGGGAACTGAGGTTGGTTGCTGCTACCTGGACAAACAGACAGACAGTTAAATGGAATCAAGTAGGTCTGTATATATGTAGAAGAATTCTAATCTTGGGCTAGAGATAGAGAAAATATCTTACTTCTTGTAAAAAGTGATAGGAAAAAACAAGTCCCTCTAGAAGAACTGATAAATTAGGTTGCTGAAAACAAATATTCAGAAGGATATATAAGTAGAAATTGAGTGAAAGTGAATAACGTATGATAGGAAGTCCACGTTCCATTATTTGACCAAAGGAGCTCTGTTTTTTTCATAGTGAGGATGTCACAGAAATAGAGAAGCTATTGTTTGGTAAAGACTTCTGAGAAGCACCAAGACACTGCATTCCAGGTCAAATCAGCAGCAAAACTATAACTAGCCACAGTGTGAGGTCCTTCTGGTCAACCTTCCTCATAACTCATCCCCTCAGGGAAACGGGAGTGAGAGTGTTTAAATAGTTGTGAAATTTTTCAGAGCTGTGAAATGTTCTTAGCTCTGGGTCAAGGGTGGTTGATCTAATTATAGTCTTTCATTTTCTTCTTTTATTCCTTTTCTCCAAATAAACCTCTCCCCCTCCCACCAACTTCATTAAAGCTGCTGGTCCCAAGGATGTTCTCTGTTCCTCAGAGAATCAGTCTCCTCCAGGTTCCAATGTCTTTGCACCTTGGCCATTGACCCCATGAACAGTCATGAGAGTGAGTTCCTTACCAGCATCCTCACATTTCCAGCCCTCTTATCTTTTTCCTATTTGCTTCATCAGTCCTATATTAATCAAACCAGCTTCTCCTCTTTCTAACCACAGGATGCTGATGTTTTTTGGAGATGTTCACGTAATCTAACTAACTCAAGCTGCCACAGGTTAATACTAATAAAATAAGCTAAAGTTTATTGAATAGACGTTTCACACCTAATGCTTTACATATGTATTTCATTTAAACCTTATAATGACTCTAATAGACAGGTATTATTATCTCTTGTTAAAAAAAAAAAAAAGAAAGAAGGGAGTCCATGAGAATTTATTAAATTTTATCCAAAGTCAAACAGCTAATAATTTGCGGAGCTAGATTTAAAAGTCAGGTCTTATCATGCTCCATTATACTCCACTTTCAGACATCAAATAATAATATTTGGGCAATATAAAGTAATAATAAGGGCAGCTATGGGAGAGAGGCACCCCTGGGTTCATATCCTAACTTGTCTATACATGAGCTGTGTAAGTGGTATATCAATTTATCTTTCTGATATTCTACTTTGTGGAATTGCTGTAAGGATTAAAGATAATATAACTTAAGTAACTGGACAATTATTTGGACATATTATAAACTCAACTAATGATCACTGTAATTATTAATCCATCTAAGTTACTTTCACTTGATTTGATGTGCCTACCTTTGTTGGGCCAATGAGTTTTGGATACAAAATCCAGGACTTGGCATTTGTTTCTGCTTCATACTGCCCTTTCTGCCTCCTGGATAAACACGCATTTTATGTCCTCATTCTCACTTGGGCCAAAAGAAAATTTTCCTACAAAGAAAATTGGTGGTATAACAAGTTTTCTAAAGTGCAAATTTTCTGTGGAATTAAAAATCTTTTAAATACTAGTACATGATTAACTGAAACATATATGACAGATATACTGTACTATATGTACGCTGCAGATCAATGGGGAAAAGATAAATTTTCTAATAAATGGTGCTGGGGATTGATTATCTCAATGGATAAAAATTGAATAAATGTTGGACCCCTAACTCACATATGAAAATGACCAGTTACATTTAAGGCCTAAATGTAAAAGGTACAGTTCTCAAGCTTTAAACAGACAATGTGAAGGATCAGTATATCCTATCCTTAAAAAATGAATCCTGAATTTGACTACATCAAAATCAAGAACTTGTTTCATTAGACAATACATAAGGAGATTTTTTTTCCGTAAGTAACCTACAAAATATGGGATAAACTACAGTTCATCATTTTTTTAAATATTGTAAATATATATAAAATGAGTAGATACACACAAACACACATGCGGGTACAAGGTCCAAATAAAATAAACATCTCTGCTTTCAATATCTAGGCCAAAAAAAGGATCATTTTTGCTGTTCTATCCCCTCCAAGTATTGAAATTTGTGCTTACTTTTACTTTTCACTGTTGTTTTTAATCCCTAAATAAACATTGTTGCATTTGCCTATGTTTTAACTTTATCTAAAAATTGAATCATACTGTGTGACTTTCTTCTTTCATTTGAAATTATTTTTGAGACTCATCCATCTCGATGTGTGAAATTGTAGTTGATTCATTTTTACCATTGTTTAATTTTCTACGAAATTCTCCTCTTTGTAGACATTTGGAGAGTTCTCAGGTTTGGGTTATATATGATGCTGCTGTAAGTATTTTTGTGCATAGTTCTGGGATAGAGACAATATTTTCTTTCTTTTTTTTTTTTTTTTTGAGGAAGATTAGCCCTCAGCTAACTACTGCCAGTCCTCCTCTTTTTGCTGAGGAAGCCTGGCTCTGAGCTAACATCCGTGCCCATCTTCCTCTAGTTTATACGTGGGACGCCTACCACAGCATGGCTGCCAAGCAGTGCCATGTTCGCACCCGGGATCCGAACCAGCGAACCCCGGGCCGCCAAGAAGCGGAACGTGCGAACTTAACCGCTGCGCCACCAGGCCGGCCCTGACAATATTTTCTTAGGGCACATATTTAATAGATTTTGTATGTCTAAGAGATGCACATTTCAGTTATATCATGAAGGGCATGACAAACAATTTTCCAAAGTTGATATACCAATTTCACTCCAATCAATAACAGATGGAATTCCCATTGCTCAGCATCCTTGTCAGCACTTGATATTGTCTGACTTTTTTCCCCCAATTCGATGGTAAGAAATAATCTCTCACTGTCTCTTAAATTCGCATTTTACTAATTTTTAATATTTTATTTATGCTTGTGTTTTTGGGCCATATGTGCCTTCTTTTTGGTAAAATTCCTATTCATTTCTAATTTTTGAATTAATTTATCTTCCTTATTAATCCACTGAGTGCTCTTAATTTATTTTGAATAACATCCTTTGGTGGTTGTACATGGTTAAAATATATTATCCCATATTTTGTAGGTTATTTAAAGAAAAAAAAATCCCTGTATGTAGTGTCTAATGAAAAAATGTTCTTAATTTTGATGTAGTCAAATTCAGAAACCATTCTTTAAGGATAGGACATACTGATCTTTCACATTGTCTGCTTAAAGCTTGAGAACATTTAGGCCTTAAATGCAACTGGTCATTTTCATATGTGAGGTAAGGGTCCAATATTTATTTAGTTTTTATCCATTTAGATAACCAATTCCTAGCACTATTTATTGGAAAATTTATCTTTTCCCCAGTTGACCTGCGGTGTTGATTCTATCATAAATCAATTTTCCATATCTGTCTATTCTCTTTCTGATTTCTCAATTCTCTTCTTTGAGTAAAAATCTCGGAGCTAATACCATAATGTCTTATGTACGTGCTAGAAACTCCAGTGTAAGGTTGAATAGTGGGTATTGGTGGCTACTCTTGTTATGATTCTGACAATAGCAAATGAGATACTTGCGTTAAAATTTATCTATCAATTTAATGAAAATATGCATTATCATATTTACTAAGTCTTCTGGATCTGGTTTGCTGAAAGTGTGAGTTTTATTATTTTAAACGTAAATGAACATTGATTATCAAGAATTTTTGTTTGTTTGGATCTACTGAAATCAATATGACAAATTTTCTCCTTTATTCTATCATTTGGGTAATTTTTATCTATTGATTTTCTAGTGGAAATCAAACTCGCAATTCTGGACTAAATCTGTCTTTTTATTTATTACTGGATTTGGTTTGCTAATATTCTGTTCGGCATTTTTGAATCTTTATTTGTGAGTGAATATTGGCGTTGAATTTTTCTTTCTCATAGACTCCTTGTCAAATTTTGGTAATGATGTAACAATAGTTTCATAAAATGACTTGAGTAACACTTCCTGTTTCTCTATGTAACAATAGTTTCATAAAATGACTTGAGTAACACTTCCTGTTTCTCTACACTTTGCAGTTGCTTGTTGTATATTAGAATAACTTAATGACTATGGAAATCTTGTGGGTAAAACTATCTTAATCTGGACATTTTTGGAGCAAAGACTTTTAAGTTCTGTGTTAATGTTTAAAGAATTATAGTACTAGTTGGTCTATTTCTCCTGCAATTAATTATATTTTTCTAACAATGTCCATTACATTTAAAAGTTCATATTTATTAACAAATTAATTCATAATGTCCTCAATGATTTCATAAGTCTGCAACACTTAAATTTATGTTGCTTTTTCTTTCAAATATTGCTTATTTTTCTCTTTTTTCATTTTTTCTTTATTACACCAGGAATTTGTCAATTTTATTAATCATTTCAAAACCAACTTTTTACTTTTTTCATCTTATCTATTATACCTTTTTCATTGATTTACAGTCTTATATCTATTATTTCTTTCCTTTGAATTTTTTTCACTCTATTTCTTTCTAAATTTTAAAAATAGAT